TCCCTAATTAAAAAGATAAATTAATCAAGGGGGGCCCTCACCCCGCCCCCTACCTAATGCAGGGGAGATGATACATCACTTGCCGCCAAGTCAAAAGATTTCACAACCCTGGAAGCTGCAAGTTGACGTCAGAAGGGGGTGCGCAGCACATTGTTCCTTTCACCCTGCGCAACAGAAGCCATCGCTGTTGCGGGTCTGTCTCCTGCCTCAACAGAAGAGGATTCTCATGGTCCTCCATCTCAACGAAGAACTCCATCAACCCTCGTCATTTTGGACAAGACAGATGATCATTTTGGATGAGTTCCTCGTTTGTGGCTGTCATCTGTGGCTGTCACGGCTATGGGATGATTTTGGTCGTCAAGAAACCGTCTCACAGTCCAATGACATGGTCGACGAAAAGCCCTTAGTCGTGGAGGATCTAACCTGTGCTCTCTCAGGGCCGGGCATGTTTGCGTGGCAGAGGCTGCCGAATTTGATGTGGTCGTGGTGGTTGGTCAGTTGCTGTGATCTGGTGGCAGGCGCAGCAATTCAAAGTTTTTGCTAGGCGTTTTTCATATTGTAACTCTTTCAAGGAAATGCAGTGATTGAAGTCCACCACCGTGTGTCTGACCGCGTAGGGTTTTACTGAGTGAAGTTACTGGGCGGTTGGTGACTTGACCAACTTGTGTACTGCCCCCATTTTGGAGGCCATCGCTATCAGTAAAAAAAAACATACAAAAAGCTACGATCGGGGCTCCTGGCCTTACTAGGCTGCAAGGACGCTATTAGGGCCATCGCTAGTGGGTAGCTTTTGTACAGCCCCGGGACAGCCGACGGCAACAGGCAATCAATCTGAGTGATCCAGTTTCCACTCGTTTGGCCTTCTCACTTCCACTGGCCTCCAACCTTCGACCTCTTTCCAAAACGATAACATCAAACACTCATTCTTACTAATACTATGGTGGAAGCCGGGGCGGCTCTTCGAAAGGGACATTTTTTTCGAAGGAGGGTGCAAGCTGTCAAATGGACGAACATGCCAGCAGTTGAGTGCAATGCTGATATCCTTTTCATTTCTCTGCAGGATATCAAAGAGGAATGGGTTGACGAGATTTCCGAGGTGAGATTTCAAGTGCCACGCTAGTAGTAACAGGTGCCTTACTAGTAGTAACAAGTGCCACGCTAGTAGTAACAAGTGCCACGCTACTAGGAACAAGTGCCTTACTAGTAGTAACAAGTGCCACGCTAGTAGTAAGGGATTTCAAGTGCTTCTGAAGAGTTCTTGAGTGCCATAGAGTGCCCGATTGATGCCGCGGAAAGGGCATTACGATGGTACCCTTTCTTGGAGCGGAGGACTGTCGGACCAACACTTTCAGCATGATGCCCATGATTGGGACCATAAGGAGTTTGAGAACTTTGTGAACGAGTACACTACTCGGCAGCAAGAGGCAGATGGTGTCGCTGCAGCATGAATCAAGCAAAACGTCCATAGATGGGCCAGGCCTATGCAGAGGCCTTCAGGAAGTTCGATGTGGACGATAGTGCACTACTTAAAGCTGAGTCATTTGGGCGGCCGTAGCGAAACCAGACACCGTGATTGGCATGAGACCTTGCTAAGCGAGACCTGCTTCCCAATGCTGTCCACGAACTTACTTGTTACTCGCTAAGTGCAAAAAAAAATCCTTGGAACAGTCGTAGTACACTAGAAGAAATCTTACTCAAGAAAGGCCAGGTATGGCCAGGTTCAACTCCGAGTACATTAGCCGAGGTCAACTCATCCGTCACATTGGTACATCATTTCTCCAGTGGCTGCTGGATCTTCATGTCGTTCTTTTCCCAAAAATAACATTAACAAGAAGCTACTAGGGGCTCCTGGCATCGCTACTAGGAGCAAGGACGCTACTAGGGGCTCCTGGCCTCACTACTAGTAACAAGAAGCTACATTGTGACAACAATTGCCAGAGATTTAGATGCATGTCTGCATGTCTCTCAGCCATTGTATGTTTGCACGTTATCGTTCAGGTCATGTTCTACGTCACAGTATTTTGTGCGTCGGGTCCGATCTCATTGTATGAGGGTCATAAGACATAACGTATGGGCATCCCTAAGCTAGTAGTAACAAGTGCATCGCTAGTAGTAACAAGTGCCTTACTAGTAGTAACAAGAAGCTATTAGAAAACATTGTATGGGTGGTCGACCCATGTGTTATATGGCAGCTTGGGCGTCTTGCTCCACGGGGTCAGGTCACCTTCCTTCAGGTGATCTCCAACCCTAGTGATGGCCTCCAAAGTCCATAAAGGTGCATGCCGGTCTTTCAATCGCAGCATATGTCTAGAGAGCGGTCCGGCGCGGATTGTCTTTGTTTCAGTGGTCCTGTCATGGTGCAAGCCACACTGCTCTAGCTCTATTCTACTGCCTACTACTACTACTACTACTACTACTATACTACCACTACTAGACTAATACTGCTACTACTCTTTGGTGGACTCCAACGCTAAGTCGTCGCATGTGAGGAAACCGAAACATCAGTCTTTGCACTCCGTGTTTGAGACACACCAAGCTGCGGTGGTATTCAGTTGTGTGCAATGGACCCACCCTTGGCCAGTGGAACATGTAGCAAAGAGCAACACTCAAACATCACTTAGAATATGTTGTAATGATTGTAATGAAAACCGGTTGAGGTTTGAGTGTGTTGTGTTCCAAAACGCCCAGGTGAGCAAATCAGCACGGAAGAACTTCAAGAGGTCTCGACGAAGCGATTGGTGACGGTGTGTTTCATTGGGTTTTGCGAAGAAACAAACGACTATTAAGAACAAGTGCATTGCTTCTAGTAACAAGTGCCTTACTAGTAGTAACAATGGGTTTTGCGAAGGTCTTGCGCAGTTTGGGATTCGTGGTTCCACCCAGCCTTGTTGCAGAGATCATGGAGAAGGCGGGAAAAAGCAACGGAGCATAATGCAGGTTGGAGGCCATCACTATTAGGGTGGAGGCCATTGCTACTGGTAGCAAATAGCTACTAGTAGCGTCCTTGCTCCTAGTAGTATGGCCAGGAGCCCCTAGTAGCGTCCTTGCTCCTAGTAGTATGGCCAGGAGCCCCTAGTAGCGTCCTTGCTCCTAGTAGCGATGCCCGTTGCTCCTAGTAGCTTCTTGCTCCTAGTGGCATTTTTCTTGGGATGTAAAAAGATGGAGTCAGTGGGCAGCACTTTGTGCATTCTAGGTCGACTACGATGGCTCTGGCGAGCTTTCCTTTGACGAGTTCGAAACGTAGCTCGTTGCAAATTGTGCATCAAGAAAAGAAAGAAAGAAAGAGAGAAAGAATAGTAGCTTGTTTGTTACTGGTAGTGAGGCCAGGAGCCCGTTCGTAGCGTTCTTGTTCCGTTCGTAGCGATGCCAGGAGCCCCTAGTAGAGTCCGATCGCTGGCCAGGCTTATGAAATTCCTGGAGGAGTCGGACGGATTCCCACAGGCAGAACAAGATGAGTTCGTGCCCAAGAACGTGAAGGGAGTCAGTTCGCTATTTGTTTGTTTCACTCGCCTTCCAAAAGCAAACGTATATAGATGTGGCTAAGTATGTTATATATAGATATCCAATATTATCCAATGATATCTACACCTATATAAACATGTGTTCGCATCTCGTGCGGATATGCCATTCGAAGTGGCCTCCTGCCTCCTTTCCTTGCGATGGCCCTCCAGCGCTGTGTTCCTTACGTTCGGTCTACGGGTACGGACCGAGGGAAAGGACATGAAAGTTTCGGACACGGGAACAGAACACAGCAAGTAAGCAACAGAATGTAACATTTTAGGTGACTAAAGCTACTTGTTGAGCATTTGTGTTGCGTTAGACGTGTGCAAGGTTGTGGACGAGTAAATGATGTTGGTGACTCTTGTGTCGAAGATAACATGTGAAAGAAAGCAGTTTATTGTGTAACAAGGCATTCATAAACACGTTCCTTGGACTCTCAAGATGACCAGAGGATTCACTCGCTCACTTGTTGTTTTTCTCGCAAAGCATGATGCGTGAGAAATTCAAGAGTGATCATGTCGAGACAAAGAAACACTATCCAGGTGGGGCTGGGTGATTTTCATCCCCACCTACGAAACAAAGGCAACAAATCGAAACAGTGAAAGAGGTCTAAAGAGAAACACAAGGCAACAACGAAAACATGTTCCCTTTAGTTAATTAAAACAGAAGTCAGAAAAACACATCTTCAAAACAACCGGCTAGGCTTTCCTCGCCTTTCGGTCCGGTCCGATCTCCGCCTTCGCTGCCAAACGGTTCTGTCAAAGATCCGAATGGGGAACGGTTCAGTGTTCAGTATGGTTAATGAACATGTCGTTTGTTTTCTATTATGTTTAATGAACAAGTACGACATGCGGCACGACGCGTTCCCCTTTTTCTCTTCACTCGTGCTATGTGCATCTATGTGCTTTGTTGCTTGTCACACGCGGTTTCGTGTCTCAAAGACGCCGCTTGGTACGTCTAGTCGCCGCAGAAAGCGATTTCGTTTTTGAAGTAGTAACAAGTGCCACGCTAGTAACACTTAAGACCTATACCTTGCTATCTTGGGCCGACGTTGACCGGCGGAGGCACCAGGTGGTCTTCAAGAAATTTAGCCGCGAGGGAAAAGTTGACATCCAGGTCTGGCCTTCGGCGGGGAAGGGTGAAGCGAAAGTAAACACAGAAATCAATCGAATGTTTGATACACATGTATTTCACTACAATATATACAACTATAACCATTTACATGTTTCAATCTTTGATTTTTTGTGTAGGTTTCATTTGTTGAACCGCCCCCCTAAACACGTTGCCAGCGCTTCACGATTTGACATGGTTTGTCTTTTAACACGGTTGCCACCGCGTGACGCGTGAGGCCTTTGCCGCCGTGCTACATTGGCTTGGGCATCCTGAGAGCATCCAGGACGCCCGGGTAATGCATCTTGGAATCGCAGGTTCTTTTTGATGGTTCTTTTTTGCTACTAGGAGCAAAGGGCATCGCCACTAGTATCAAGAAGCTACTAGTAGCTCCTTGCCTTACTACTAGCAGCAAGAAGCTACTAGTATTCAATCCTTTCTACTATTTTGTCTCTTTTTGCAGGATCTTCAAGAAATCTTTCAAGATGCCGACAAAGATGGCACCCAGACTTGACTGGCAAAATTTCACTTCAAAAAGTCTAGCAGTGATCAAACTTTGCTGCAGAAATAACCAAAAGAAGCCAAGAGCTCAAGCCAGAAAGAAAGAGCCTTTTCAGAGTTTTGCGCTTCAATGCGCCGTGCTTCAAAAAAGCACCGTTTCAGGTGGTGATTCCTTGGACTACAATGAGTTCGTCCTGGCCATGAAAGCAGCAAAACCCTTAGATGCAAATAAGCAGCAAAACGGCGAAATCAAGTTGTTTTTTTTTGAGATTTACTTTTAGTAAGCCTTAACTTTAACGCACTCTTTATTGTTTGTGTTTTTCTAAAGCATTCATTTTTGTTTCTTAAACAAAAAGGTACAAAAACACTATGCCATAGCTTAGCTCTAAGCTGAGTCGATACCACTATGGTCTACGCCGTGCAAACCGGTTGCAGGTTCGAGATTTGCAAATGAAGCGTTTGAACACCGTCTTTGAGGAGATCCACAGCCCAAGCGCTTTCCAAAGTAACTTTGGGCTCTACCTTCCAAACAGGTAAGCAGGAGCGTAAGCAGGGGAGTTTTTTTTTGAACGTGTTCTTCGTCAGGCTTTTCAACACAGGATTCTAAGACCCCGTCTTTGCTGCTCTTCACTGGGCCTCACTGTGCTAAACTTCAGAGCTTCATGATGTGCGCATGACCCAACCCAAACTGCCGGCTATATACTATTCATAACTTAGTGCTGAAGTCAATGTGTAAACAGTGTAAGCGCTAAAATTGGAGAGGCCCAAAAGAAACCCAGCCACAAAGCAAGAACTTGCGGCGACCACTGCCACTTCCTCCCAAGAAGGATTCTCAGCAAGAACTAGGCATGACCAGATGGTCTTTCCCAGGAGAGTGACAAGGACGGGAACGGGACCTTGAATGTGAATGAACTGGAAAACGCCCTCAAGGCGGGATCCAGCTCGATCTCGGAACCGCGGATCACGGCAGAACTGCGTCCCGATCGTGTTTTCGTGTTTTTGATATTTCAGGTGTTGAAGTATGACTGCGATTCACAAGTGGTTGCGGAGGCTGGAAACGACTGAGACGAGGTGTTTTTTCTTGTTTTACTGCAGCAGGTTTGCTTCAGTGCTTTCAGGTGGTGGCAGAAGTCCGGGATGTGAGGCGGCTCTACGGAGCAAGTCACCGTTTGCACCAAACGACGCACCAAAGCAGCTTGCTGGTAGATGATGCGTTGGAAGATGAAGCTCTGCAGGTCGCAATTGCGGTCTAGCCGAGTTGTTGATTTGACCTTCGAAGATGTCATGGACTTCCTCCAAAGGCAGGTAAACAAGCATAAATTCTGTAAGTCATGTATGTTGTAAATTCTTGTAAACTGTAAACACATCGTGTAAACAAGAGGCGCTGACCACGGAGTGAGGTGAAAATGGTGAAACGAAAGCAGATCATGTGTTTCGCGATGTTTTTGGAACACTTCTGGAAAAGAAACAGCACGTTCAAGACATTAAGAGCAATCAAAAAATCAACATGCTCTTCAGATTTCCACAAACGATTTCGACGGAGATCTGTGAGGTATCGAAATCGTGAAGGTCTTTCTCTCAAGGAACTTGAGGATTTGGCCGCCGCCTTCCGGCCTCGATGCCAAGTCGCAGAGATGCGTCGGTGCGTAAAGCGTAGCTTACGGATTTGACGAAACCATTTAATCGAATCGATGTCTAATTCATGTTAGTTTAATTAGTATTTAATTTTTAGTTTTATGTTGCTTTAATCTAACTTGAATTGTTTTTGTTCCTGGTAGTAAGGCACCTTGCTACTAGTAGCTTCTTGTTCATTTTAACGGAATTTATGTTCCAACTGATTTCAATGGTATTTGCTAGTACTTGCAGCTTGCACTTTGATGCCTCACCACAACACAGATCACCAGAATCACAGGCTGTTCATCTTACGGTACCCCAATTGTTTGCGTCCGTGCAAGCAATGGCCGGTGGCACCCGGCCTGGACTGCTCACCCAGACCCCCGGAGTTTTTCAGAACCCTTCGCTACGCATTTGAAAGAGAAAAGGTCGAAAGAAAGAAAGAATAGTAGCGATGCCCTTTGTTCCTCGTAGCGTCCTTGTTACTACTAGTAATGCACTTGTTACTAGAAGCGATGCACTTGTTCCTAGTAGCGATGCCCTTTGTTCCTCGTAGCGTCCTTGTTACTACTAGTAAGGCACTTGTTACTAGAAGCGATGCACTTGTTCCTAGTAGCGATGCCCTTGGTTCCTCGTAGTATGGCCAGGAGCCCCGTTCGTAGCGTCCGATCGCTCCTAGTAGCGATGCCAGGAGCCCCTAGGCCCTAGTAGCTTTCTTGTTCCTAGAAGAAAACCATAAGAAAAAAGTGTCTCAAGCAAAATGGTCTGTTGCCATCCCATCATTTGTTGGGGCACAGGCTTCTTTGATGTCCATGACACACAATCTCAAGCGCTCAACCAATTTCAAGAAATAGCTTGGCCAATCCTTTGTTCTTAGCTACTAGGAACAAGACGCTACTAGAGGTTCCTAGCCTTACTACTAGGAGCAAGGACGCTACTAGGGGCTCCTGGCCCTACGAGCAAGAAGCTACTAGGGGCTCTTACTTCTAGTATCTCTTTTCTGGACCGAGGCACTACGAATACGAGAATAGCCATGCAGTCCAATGTCGTGATACCTGCAAAGCTTCCAACCTAAGAGAGTCCAACAACCTGCAAAGCCGAGAGGAAACCGCACTGGTCCCAGGTGCTAAATATATTTGGCTGCGAGCTGGAACCAGAGGAGTGATGTCAGTTTAAAAACAGAAACTCAGAATAAGAATTACATTCATATTGAATTTAATCGGTATTGAATTTACTTGAACTTGTAAGTAAATTAATGTTTTATGTATTTCAATGTCTACAGAAATTAGAATATATAGGATTTGTTGAGTGACTTTTGGATAAGTGGTCGGCTTCGTCAGGAGGTCGAAAGACTTGCTGCGAAGGTGGATGTGGACAATTCCGGCGCGGCGACCGAAATGTGCATGTCCAACGTGTGAATTGTACCTCTACATAGGATTTCCTTCTCTATCTATCGGATTTCGCCAAAGGTCATTTGAGCCTGTCAGACATGAAGAAGGTCTTGAGGATGGAGAATGAGGAGAAAAAACGGAAGCAGCGATCAGCTTTCAAACAGTGTCAATTGGAGTTCAAGGCAGTTCAATTGCAGTTCAATTGGAGTTTGGATTGTGTGCAGGATTCATTGAAGAGATTTCGTGAGGCATGGATCTCCAACAACGGTGGCTCAAACGGAGAGATCAGCAATCAGGAGGCCAGGCCGGTGACACTTTCCTTGTTACTAATAGCTTCTTGTTCCTAATAGTAATGGCCTCCAACCTACTAGCGATGGCCCGCAACCTAGTAGCTTCTTGTTACTAGCAGTGATGCACTTTTCGTAATTAATCAGTTAAATTGCATTGGGAAACTTGTACAAGATTTGGATCTTGTTCGTAGCCACACGGACAGAAAGACTATACAGCTCATTATAGACTGATCTGCTAGCCAATACCATGTTTGGTTTCGTTCAGATGCTGGGTTGTGCTTCCGGGTTTGAGTGAAGAATAATTTTGGCCCATGTTGGGCGCCCAAGGTTTCAATTTCCAGGGAATGTAACCAGGTCGTTCTTGTTCTCTTTCCACTCTTTTCATAGCGTGTTTTTCCACCAATTTTTACACCTTTGTCCAAGCATTGGGTGAGTTGGTCCAGGTTGTCAATGCTTAACGGTGCCGGCTAAGTAAACTCCACCAGGAAGCTTGCTCACAACAAAGAGTGTTTTGCATTCAACAAATTCTGGCGGCCTCGACCCTGGAAAACACCACCTGATCCGGCTGTCTCGACTTGAGTTCCAAAATGACATGGCTGTCTCGAAGTTTGGCCAGGCTATGCAGCTCTTCAGTGAGTTGCAACTTGAGAGCAAAGGTGCGGCCCTGAAAACCGTGATACATTGGATGTGCTCGCAGCAACAGGCTGACCCATTTTGACAATTCTGAGTTGCTTAATGTGTACAGAATCTGTAGATGCATGTTCGAATGGCAGCAACCCCTCGTTTCTACGAGGCAGGCATTGATATCACTACCCTCCACTCCAAATCCACGAATGCAACGTTTTGCAGTTTGCTGCAATTTGCTTCGTTTCAAGGTGCTTCGAGCAGCTTTGAGTTGGGCCTGCTTTCGGCGTTTCGTCAAGGTCTGGTGGTGTTTTCTCATGACTTCAGGTTTTGATGGTCCTTCAAGCGTTTTTGAGTGGGCAATAGATTCAACTCGAGTTAAGTGAAAACATGTACCAAAGGACACATTGGGTTTGCGCCTAATCATTCACTTGGACCAATTCATCAACACATGAGGGCCATAGCCAAGAAAGGGATTTAAGGCGAATCCTTCGGTTTGAAGGCGCATAGTGCAACTAAGCACGGTCCAAGACCACTAAGCACATGTGTTGCAAGTGGCGGGATGGACGGTTGAGACGAAGAGAGAGGCAGACCAAAATTTGACCCGACTTGTTAACGTCTTTCTTTCCAACTAGTAAGGCACTTGTTCCTAGTAGCTTCTTTGTTACTACTAGTAAGGCACCTGTTACTAGTAGCGATGCACTTGTTACTAGTAGCTTTTGTTAACGTCTTTCTTTCCAACTTCTGACAAGCTGCCAAGCTCCTTGTACTCTTTGGCTTCTACCAAAAGCCAAATAGGTGGTGGTGGCTACACCTTGGAGAGCTTCGTACGGACGTGCGTGAAGCGGAAGAAGACGAGACAACAGGAGACAAGGCGAGATGCTTATAGCTACCGTTCTGTACTAAGAGCGCTTGTTCTGTCTTTTCATTTTGTTCCTCTCTCTTTCTTCCTAACAGCGCTGGCCTCCAACCTACTCTAGCGATCTGTTTTCGCCTGGGGGAGTTAGGCTGGTCGGGAAGTAAGATGGAGTCAGTTCAGGTGATGTACTTCGGCCGCTTAAGGCCTGTGTACACCAGTCGTCACGTCTCCCCTTTGGGGAAAGTATCGCGCGACGTGGGGCGGGCAGGGGCGAGCTTCCTTGAAGCCTGAGCCCGAATGATTTGGTTCGTAGCGATGCCCTTGCTCCTAGTAGGAGCCCCTAGTAGCGTCTTTGCTCCTAGTAGCGATGCCAGGAGCCCCTAGTAGCTTCTAGCCCGTAGAGATTGTTTGGGAAACTTAGCGAGTCAGACGAAGATGTGAGCATTACTAAGATGGACAGATGCAAAAGAGTCGCTATTAGGAAGAAAGAGAGAGGAAAGAAAAAGAAGAGTAGCTATATAGCTGAAACAGACAAAACAAAAGAATTTAAGTAAGGTTTATTAATTGTAATTAGATATAATGGAAGTCTTGCAAACACTGTAGCTTTCTTTGGTCCGTTTGTAGCCTTCTTCTGCGTTCACGTTTCTTCTTGCCTTTTCTCAAGCCTTACGGGTTCGCCATACTGAGCACTCTGTGAGCGCTCTTTCTGCGCTGTCGTCATTCGGCATGCATCGTTTGATCTGGGATCTTCTGGGCATACCATGATCAGAATCAGCAACTGCCACACTTGTCCTGAAGTGACATGTTCTCTAAATCGCTAGTAGGGTCGAGGCCATCGCTTCTAGGTTGGAGGCATTTTCTCTTTGTTTTCCGCTGTGTCCAGAGCTGTGCACAAGCTTCGCTTCATTCGACTTCAGGTCTTCCGCCAAGCAAGGACAAGAGCACGTGAATGGAAGGTTCTCGACTGTGCAGACCCACTCCAAGCTGGGAAAACTTCGAGCGAACTGAAGCAAAATGCTTGTTCTCTTCGATCCAAACTTAGCGCGGAAATGATGAAGGAGCTCCTTTTATCCTTCTTTTATCCTTTTTATCCGCCATTCGCTTCACACGAACGCGGCGGAGCTTTGCGACTTGGCGCGCGCGTTCGATCCAAAGGATCCGAAAGCGGCGAAAAGGGCGGCCGACTGGGCACCTGTTACTAGTAGCTTCTTTGTTACTACTAGTAAGGCACCTGTTACTACTAGCGTGGCACTTGTTACTAGTAGCTTCTTGTTACCGTTGCGGCGTTCGCAAAGTGAAAGAGTCGTGTTTCTTGACATTTCTCTTATTGTGCTTGTCGTCAGGCCATGGGATTCTTTTCACAGCTTGACCCAGCACCACCAGCCTTTCACATCAGCAAAACAACGCCAACATCTGCAGGTGCTTTGGTTGCGATGGGGGACGGATATGGGTTTCCTTGAAACAGGCCGTTTTTGCTTCGTGACATTCGTGTAACCGGCACAAGACGTCAGAATGAACCACGTGCTGCCCGATTTCGGCGCCACTTCGGCTCAGAATTCACACGGCTCAGAACCCACTTTTAGTTAAGTGTTTGCAATGTTTTGGTACTTGTTGAGAGGGAAAAACAAGTAAATCAATTGAAAACACCGCATGAAATTGAAAAAGGTCAAGGCATTTCACTTATGTGAAATAAACAACACCTCAGAGGTCAGGATGCCATGAGCCCAGAGGCCTTTCAAGACACTGAGACGTGCAGGAAAGAGTCCAAGAATTTGAGAAAGAAATGCGGAAGATTTGACAAGAAGGGGCACTCCTGGCCTTACCCAAAGGTAACTAGTAGAAACAAGTGCCACGCTAGTAGTAACAGGTGCCTTACTAGTAGTAACAAGAAGCTAGTAGTAACAAGTGCCACGCTAGTAGTAACTAAATTGATGTTGAGTACCAAGAAGCTATAAGGAGCAAGGGCATCGCTACGAGGAGCCAGGACGCTACTACTATCGCCGGGCATTTCTACTAGTAACTAAATGGCCTTTTCGCTCCGTTCGTAGCGATGCCCTTTGTTCCTAGTAGCGTTCTTGTTACTACTAGTAAGGCACCTGTTACTACTAGCGTGGCACTTGTTCCTAGTAGCGAACATTGCTACTACTAGCGATGCCAGGTGGAGGAGGACATCAAACCTGGTGACTCTGCATCGGCCACTGGAGACACGGTCGGAAGACCAAGCCGTGTCAACTGTCAGTCCGGTCGTTCCGAAATCCACCGGGCGATTTTGTGAGGATGAGAAAGGTGAAGAGAGGCAAGAACAAAAGGACAATGAAAAGAACGAGGAGCGGGGAATTGGGAGATGACAATCGCAAACAAAGAAAGGAGAAATGTAAAGGCTGAAAGAAACAGATGCAAAAATTAAAAACAAGGAAGTCACAAGAAGCTACTAGTAGCAAAGGGCATCGCTACTAGGAGCAAGAGGACGCTATTTCCAATAGCTTTTTGTTACTACTAGTAAGGCACTTGTTACTAGAAGCGATGCACTTGTTACTAAATTGATTTATCTGCTATCCAGTCAAATCGAAGGATGGTGGTTCAAGCGCCACGGGCAGCGTGGCCGTCTCCTTAACGACGAGGGAAACAGAAGGAATAACATGTCACCGTGTCCTTTAGTAGGTTGGAGGCCATTCCTTTGAAGATTCCTATGCCGTGTTTTTGACTAAGAACTGTTTGTCGCCCTTTCAGGTGCACAAACCGAAGAGAAGAGAAGCATGGACTGGGGAGGTGAAGCGAACGGGATGTCGAAACGAAGCCAGGTTACTAGTAGCGATGCCCTTTGTTCCTAGTAGCGATGCCAGGAGCCCCTAGTAGCATGTTTGCTTCTAGTAGCGATGCCCTTCACCAATGCGCACGATCAGGCCTGGTCAATTGATGACGGCCTCGTTCTCAATATGCCCCTGTTCAAGGCTCGACACGTTCGGGAAATGTGGATTCTTCAGTTTGTGGCAGATCTCCAAGCAATACTGGCAGTAGTATTGTTCAGCCGTATGTGAAAGCTACCCGAATAGTAGTCTCAGCAGTGGCTTTCCCTTTCAGATGCTCTTCTCAGGGATGCAGCATTGAATTTAAGCGCCTTTTGCCACTCGGCAGACGAGCCGGACGGCTGCACAGCTAGCCGCCGGCTGCCCCGACACTCTTCCGAGGTTGAGAGCGATTCGTGAGTGGGAATATCACGATGCTGGAAAGGAGAAGAAGGGAAGAGGGGTGGATGTTTGCGCAGAGCGATGCGCTTGTTGTTTGGGGTTTCGAACGGCGCAGCATGACAGCAAGCTGGACAAGCTGGAAGGTCCCAAGGTTTGAAGTGAAGAAAGCTCTCTCAATGAGCACCAACTTACGTGAAGGAGACGTGGTACGACCCCGACTACGACGAGATTTGCACATTGGAGAAGTTGCCCAAAGATCGGCTGCCTCACACTGAGAACAAGCTGCGAATTAGGAAAAGGTGGGAAAAAGGAAAAGGGAAAGTGTTAGGAAACGTGTTCTTTTCATCTCCAATAGGTGGGAGGCCATCGCTACTAGTATGGCTAGTTAGCTGTTGGAAAGAAAAGGAATGAGAGAACAAGCCTTTCAGCTATAGCTGAAACAGCAAAATGGTTCCTCAAACTTCTTCACTTCGCTTTTGTTGGAATCCATTCCCGTCCATTCACATCCGCTCCGCTTGTTATCGCACAGCATGCACAACCGTGTCTTTTTTTTGTGAACATGACATAGAACGAAAGGAACGGTCTCTCAGCGAAAGAAAAGACATGTAAAAGGTCGGAAGGATGGTCGATTCAGAAAAGAAAGACCAATAAACACTGTATGAGGCAGTATGACTCTATATGACCCAGTAGACCCGACAGAGCGTTTTGACTCCAAACTGTTCAAGGCCTCCATTGCACAAACCGTTCATCGGAATGAAGCTGGAGCCTGGAGAGTGCCGGAAAAGACTGACGAGGAAGTTGACAAAGGGATGACATTTCCAAAAAAACTAGTGCATCGCTACTAGTAACAAGAAGCTAGTAGAAACAATAATTAGTAAAATTAGCAGGTTGGGGCCTCCATGGCTATTAGTAACTCAAAACTAATTCTTGTTTCTACTAGCTTCTTGTTACTAGTAGCGATGCACTAGTTACTACTAGTAAGGCACTTGTTACTACTAGCTTCTTTTGAGTTAGCGATGGAGGCCCCAACCCAAAGAAAACAGTTCACACTCGAAGTGGTACATGTACGTGCGTGTAAACAGGTACATTTGCCGTGGGGGGGACTATGATGACAAGTTAGTACCGAACTCAGCTGAGAGGGGCGCAACAACTGTCACTCAGCATGACATTCCTTGCCTTTTTTCAATGATGAGGAGTCAAAAACCCAAACATCCTCTAGCTGCCAATAGTGTGACCCTTTTGCGTTCTGCGCATGTTGTTGCCAATAGGTTCTTCTAACTGCCCCTTAACGATCAAAACAGCGTTCTTCAGGCCTGTAATGTGTTATGCAAGACACATGTGAGGTAGTGATCATCCGCGGCACCGTGGAGAAACTCGTGGGCGATGCACCACAGGTGGCCCAACAGACGAGACGATCAGACAGACGAGACGACAGGTGGCCCAACAGGTTTTGCCAAGTTTGAGAACAGATACTGTATATCGTTCGCTACTACGAACGGAACAAGGACGCTACTAGGGGCGTCCTGCCTTATTCCTAGTAACAAGGCACTGCTTGCCGTATCGCACCACTTCACTGCTGTGGGGCGTTTCCGATGATGCAAAAGTAAGAGACGTCCTTCTTGAAATCCCACGGTTAGAAACTGCTAGTCAGTCTTGATCATATGTGGTCATGGATAGTCTTCAGTAGGAAGCTCTACTTTTGCATGCTTTTGCAGCCCTGACAATGTGTTCGGTGAACCAGCCTTGAACAGTTTTCTTGCTGCTAGACACCTCTTTGCCAATAGCAGATTTGCACCACGCGAGGTGATCAGCAAAAATAGTAATTGAGATCAGTCAACCTGCCGCAAAACGCTACACCAGCGCAGCACTATGACACGCACTTAGACTCCAAGGACGCCAACTAGTAGCAACGAACATCGCTAGGAGCAAGGACGCTACTAGTAGCTCCTGGCCTTACTACTAGGAACAAGAAGCTACTAGTAACAAGGGCATCGCTACTAGTAACAAGGGGATGAGGGTGGTCACTCGTCTAGTTCCCCAAGATACTCCATAGGGACCTCACTGCGAATTGCGAATGCTGACGCACGGCTGCGGACGGCACAGCGTCAAGCTGGTCTTCACCTTATTCCCAGACCACCAGAGTTGCACAAGAACCTAGACAGCCAGATGCATTCTAGAAAAAATAAATGACTCATTGTCCTAGGACGGACCCGATGTTCCACATCGTTGTGTATTCTTGCTTTCACTGTTTGTATCCCGGTTTCTCCTCTCACTTTATTCGACCAAACTTGCAAAACTCGCAATTCCAACCTTTGCCACACCACGATTCATCACGTCACTACAAACGGCTTTTGCATGCTTGTATGGACAGCACTTTGGGGCGGCGCCCATTGGAAACGCAGCTACGAAAAGGATGCTCTCTCAAACGGCAGCACAAAACACCAACTTGCATATTGTCTTTTTGAAGATGTTGTCAGGAAGGTGTCCTATTCCTTCCCTGTGTCCTGCAAATCATAGCTGGAAAAGATAACATATCTTGATCTTCATAACTTCTCATTAAATGGAAGAAGTTAATCAGTTGCAGAAGTGCCTCGCTCGTAGTAACAAGTGCATCGCTACTAGTAACAAGTGCCTTACTAGTAGTAACAAGAAGCTAGTAGAAACAAGAATAATCAGTTAATCTTCATTCAAAACATCAAAACTTCTTCGACCTCTTCAGCCTGCGCAGGGTGGGCTTTGCATCGTGCGGACGTTGAAGCGCGGGGACTGTGAGGCACAGGGATTGAAGCGTTGTATTGCGCCGAAGCATGGTGTAACAAGGACGCTACGAACAGGGCTCCTGGCATCGCTACTAGGAACAAGAAGCATGGCGTTTTAAGATGTTTCAACGTAGAATGCAGTGTTGTGCTGCAGTTGCGCATGGCGGAACAATGTATTGTCCAACAGATGTCCTTTCAAATGGAACGAAATTTAAAACATTTG